CCCCCCCGCTCAGGCTTCCCCCCAAATTTCCAAGTGTTTCCCACCCAGAAGCTGACAACAGTTGCAGCAGTTACCTGTAAGCAGCATATGTGGTGTGCGTACAGTGGGATAGGGTGGCAGGAGGGGGCGTGGTGAGATGGCTCCTCTAGCTCTGTTTGCACATAACAGTGAATGCATGTACATTGGGGGGCGGGGGGGATGCTGTACATGTTTGCGTCTCTTCATAAGAAAGACCAGTGTGTATTCACGAAATCAAGGACAAGTACCTGGATAGAAGTGGCCTTTTCAGTACACCTTGGCTGATAAGACCATAAGAGAAGCCAATGTTGGATCAGGCTAATGGCCCATCCAGTCCAACACTCTGTGTCACACAGTGGCCAAAAATACCAGGGGCCATCAGGAGGTCCAGCAGTGGGGCCAGGACACTGGAAGCCCTCCCACGGTTGCCCCCACCACCCCAAGCACCAAGAACACAGAGCATCACCTGCCCCAGCCTGAGAGTTCCTATCTATACCTTGTGGCTAATAGCCACTGATGGACCTCTGCTCCATATGTTTATCCAGTTACCTCTTGAAGCTGTCCACGCTTGTAGCCGCTGCCACCTCCTGTGGCAGTGAGTTCCATGTGTTAATCACCCTTTGGGTGAACCCGACATGGCCCTGAATGTAGTGCGAGAATAACTCAGTGAAGAAACAAAGATCTAGTAGTGCACCCAGTCCAAAGACTATATGGGTATTCACTGTAACTTGTGAAGGGCTCCTGGAGGATAAGGACCCAAGGGAAGGGCTCCTGCAAAATAGGAGCTTGTGTGAGGTTTCTCTGAGGGGTGGATGTGCAGTAAGGGGTGACTAGTTTCTTTCACATTAGCAGTGATTATGCTCTCCTGGAAAGTAGATGGCTTTTATTCCCTCAAAGATGCGTCATGCTTATGCCACAGTAGAAGGTGGCATGTTTTGAGGAATGCTTTGGTTGAAGGCTCTCTCACCCCCGCCCCTGGTAGAGGTACTTGTCAGTGTCGGCTGAGCCACTCTGCAGTGATCCTTACCACAATTCTGTTTCCAAGAACAGAGTTTTCCTTTCTTTTATAGGAGTGGGTGGCAGCTATTTGCTTATGAGGGAGGAAACCGAAGGGAGCAACACTGGGGCAGAGTCCCCTGAGACCCAGCCATTGACAATTAGTCTTCATGTTTACAGGCCCTGTGGATTTACGAGCTGCATCGTAGGTTCGAGTCATGCTGTAGGGTGATGCAATGCAACTAACTTTTGTGTACATAGATAGTTCTGTGACTGTAGCTTACATTTAGGAGAAATGACAAGTTTTAAATTTGGGGTGCTACTGGTCGTGGAGGGATCGGTGTGGGGAGGGGAGAAATGCATGAGGGGTTCATTTAGAGCAGGGATCTCCAGCCTTCTTAAGCCAGTGGGCACCTTTGGAGTTTCTGACATAGTTTCAAGTAATGGCTTGATACCTATGGTTTGAGATGGGCACGGGGCCCTCTAAAAATGGCAGTCTGAAAACATAAAAGGCATCTATGTAGAATTCCCATTGAGCAGATTGCTGCTGTTCTTCCTTTCTAGTGCTTGAGCAGGAGTTGGACAGGAAGCTCTTTGGACAGCACCTGGTGAAAAAGGTGGTTGTGAAAGCCGTCACTGGCTTTTTGAACAACGCAAATCCAAAGAAGCCTCTGACCCTCTCCTTGCATGGTTGGACGGGCACGGGCAAGAACTTTGTCAGCAAGATCATTGCAGAGAGCATCTACGAAGGAGGCCTCAACAGCAGATATGTCCATCACTTCGTCTCCACTTTGCATTTTCCTCACCGGCAAAACATCACCCAATACAAGGTAATGGGACATCACTGAAACATTAACGGGTGCAGTTGGAAGATATGAACTGTTTTATTACAATAGTTTTCAAAGTGGTTTTGAGGGAACTCTCATGTTCCTCACAAGCTCAATGAAAAGATCACTAACTGCATACACAGAAGTCTGTTTAGGCTGGCTTCATTCGGCCAGGATTTGCTGTGAAAACAATCTTAATTGTGCACCTGTTCTTTGGAGAGAGAGCCTTTATCCAAATTTAGATAAATACAATTACCTCTTCTGATATGTTTAAAATTGATCAAATTTCACATTGGAGTTTGCCTTTGAAGTTTCTTTGTTGAATATTGATGACTTTTAGGTTAACAGCAGAATGTCTTGAGAGATGCAGATGTTCTGTAGCAGATGTGTGAAGAGGTTCCTTGGCAGACTGGGACAGATCAAATGATGATTAAAAATATGCCTTAAGGAGTTTATTTTGCTTGTGTGATGAGAAATGATAGTGAATTAAGTTTGAAGTGTGGCTGTATCAGGTATTAGTTTGTAGCAAAACAGCTTTAACCATTTGCAGCTCCTAAACTAGAGTACTGAATTCTGCAGGTTCATAATAAAATTAGAAAAATTGGACTGATGTTGTTTAAAAAGCATGAATTCTTAGTATCCACAGATACAAAGAGGATGAAAAATATGATCGTCTTCTTAAAAATACATAGAGCAAAGTCAGAGAGTATTGCACCTCTGTGTCAATTTGTGATTCTAAGCTTTGCTTTTGAAGTGCTGACTTCTAACATGGAACATGAAATTCATCCTGGAGCAGGAAGTCTCTGTCACTATGAAAAGATATACTTCCTTAACTGATACAGTTTTACTTCTTGAAACTGGCTTCCAGCAGTACAGTATAGGAGCAAAACTTTTATTTCCTGAATATATGACTGCAAAGTTCCAGTGTACTCCTACCCACGAAATAAGAACCTCCTGTCCATGAACCTGATGTTATGTGCAATGCTCCCTCTAAGCTGTGAAGTCTTGTGAGCAAAACTTCTACTTTGTGAGCTACTGGTATTAAAGTTGTGAGTGAGAGAGTTTGCTCTGGAGCCATCCTTCCTGAGCTGAGACAACAATGTGTGAGCTAGAGGCCAAAAAACTGAGCTAGCTCACACTAACTCAGCTTAGAGGGAACACTGGTTATGTGTACCTCCCTCATAGTAACTGCATCAACTCCAAACCTTCCACGTTCTGAAGGGGAACATCTTGAGGCTCACAGCCAGAAAACAAGTTTATCATCAGTTACTTTGCAACTAATTTATTTGCAGATTGCAAGATTTTCTAGCCAAAGATATCTAACAGGTTTTGAGGAACAAACTTGACACCTAAAAGGGGCAAAATGTGCCAGACTTAAAATTTTCTGCCCCCAAACTGCCAGGAGTACTGGGGGAGGAATAGGAAGAGAGTTCAAGTTAGATCTTATTTCGATACAAAATCTGCTCCGGAGAGTCAGCAATAATAAAAAAGAGAACGCATGCAGTGAGGGAAGCACAATGAGCGCAGATTAAGGGGGGGGAGGACAGAGAAGAGAATACCCCCTTCTGACAGACAAGCAAAGTTATTGGGACTCAGTCAGCCACTTGCAAATCCCACACGCCCGTAGGCAGAATTTGGCAACTCCTGGGCTGAGTCTGCAAGGAGGAGAGAGACATAAAGTTCTTCAGAGCTTCTTGGTAAAGTTTTCCCCCCCTTTCCATATTTGTATCCCACCCATCCCGTAAGCGGGCTCAGGGTGGGTCACATCATCTCAAATAATACAATAAGGTTTAAAACACAACAAAACATTACATTATAAACATTTAAAATCAGTAGTTATAGCTGCCGGTGCAAATTCCAGCCCATTCATACTGATTGTTATGGCCGGTTGCTGGCAGATGGGTGGCCAGGAGGTAGGAGACAGCAACCTCGGGGAGGCCATACGTGGACGCCCGCTGCCTCAACCAAAAGCCTGGCGGAAGAGCTCTGTCTTACAGGCCCCGCGGAACTGAGTAAGATCCCGCAGGGCCCTGATCTCGACGGGGAGCCTATTCCACCAGGTGGGGGCCAGGGCGGGAAAGGGCCTGGCCCTGGCCGAGGCTAAACAGATGTCTCTTGGGCCAGGGATCACCAGGAGATGTTGATTATTAGAGCGTAAAGCTCTTTGAGGCATATACGAGAAGAGGCGGTCCCTTAGATATATTGGTCTCAGGCAATACTCCCTCTAAGCTGTGGAGTCCTGTGAGCAAAAATTCCACTTCGTGAGCTACTGGCATTAGAATTGTGAGCAGGTTATTTGGCTACTGCATAAATTAGTTTGCTCTGGAGCGACTCTTCCTGAGCTAAGACAAAAGTGTGTGAACCGGAGACTAAAAAACTGTGAGCCAGTTCACACTAACTCAGCTTAGGAGGAACACTGGTCCCAGGCCATATAAGGCTTTGAAGCTGACAGAATTGGAGCAATATACTGATGTCGGATGTCATTATGGAACGGGCAAGGCAGCAGAACATGTTCAGTAGACCCTGCTTTCCCTGTATGACATCGACAAAGCCGTCATGAGCCTTCGTGTCTCTGGTGTGACCGAAGGTGGTTTTAGCACTCAACATGGTCATATTTCAATTAATTTGTGAGGGATATAAGAAGATCCACGAACCCGACAGTTGACAATCCAGCTGGAGCTCATTTTTGCATCAAATGAATTATATCTCAGATATAATGGTGCAAAACTGATTTGTTTTTGTATTGTACGTAGAAGCGATGTTACCAGCAGCCACATTATCTGTTGTTTCAGTACTGCTATCCAGAGTGGGTGTCACTCAGAGCGGGCTGCACAAACAGTCACGTAGGTCCAGTTCAAAGTGCTGGTTTTGATCTTTAGAGGCATAAAGAGCTTTGGGCCAGAGGGCCTGAAGGCCTGTTCTCTCCCCTGTGTGCCTACGGCTCCTCCTCTGCTGCATTCTGTAGTGGGTAGCTATGTGAGGCAGGGGCTCTTTGGCAGTGCAGGAAATGGCAACCAACCAGTTAAGTGGATGGACCACCTGCATTACAAGGAAAGGCCCAAGGGCCTGAGGGCGCTTCGCATGTTATGCATGGGGTACAGAAAGTTGCCAGAGAGAATCCCCTCTTCCAAAACAGTAGAACGTGGGGATACCCAGTGAATTCAGCAGGCACTAGATTCAGGACGGACAAAAGCAGGTTTTCGTGGCCTGCTTGTGGGCCTTTCAGGGGCATCAGGCAGGCCACAGTGTGGACCAGGATGTGGACTAGATGGCCGGTCGGCCTGGCCCAGCGTGGCTGCTCCTCTGTTCACCTAAACACTCTTCCCAAGGACATATGGCCAGTGCTCTCCTGCATGCCGTCTAGTCAGCAAGTTAAGGCTCTGCTGTTTCAGAGGGCACTTGGGATGACGGATAATTGTTATCTGCCCTGCCTGGTCTTTTTGCATTCTATGCTTTTTGTTATTTTTGATACTGTTTAAGTATGTCTTTGTGCATCGTGGATCTTGACGGATGGGAAGGACAGATGGAATGTTTAGAATCCTCCCTCTGCCTTTTAGGACCAGCTGCAGATGTGGGTTAGGGGCAACGTGAGTGCCTGCGCGAGGTCGATCTTCGTCTTTGATGAGATGGATAAAATGCACGCCGGACTCATTGACTCCATCAAACCTTTCCTGGACTATTACGAGCAGCTGGATGGTGTGTCTTATCGGAAAGCCATCTTCATCTTCCTCAGGTGAGCTGGGAAAGTATTTCCACACTTGGGGGGTGGCATCGGACCTCTCTGCTGCAGTCCTGAGGAGGCCTGGAGACTTAGCTCAGAGTTCCGGGAGTCAGCATGGAGCCTCTGAGCCTAGGCTCACCAAATGCTTGGGACTTTACTAAGCTTTGCTTTGAGATCTTGTAGGACTCCAAGCATGACGTTCCTGTAAAAAAAAAAAAAAAAAAGCCTGTTGACTATTCTTCTTTTTCCAGCAATGCTGGGGCTGAAAAAATAACCGAAGTGGCACTGGACTTTTGGAGGAGTGGAAAGAGACGGGAGGAGCTGGGACTGCAAGACCTGGAGCCTTCGGTGTCCGTGTCCGTCTTCAATAACAAAAACAGTGAGTTACACCAGCTTCAGTCACGATAGCAAGGATGTGCTCCTGGTCCATGTGCGGCGGCTGCGGTGGCTCAGTGGTTAAGACGCTGAACTGCAGGCTGGAAGGTCGGTAGTTCAGCAGTTCGAGACCCGAGTGTGCCGCATGACGGAGTGAGCTCCCGTCTCTGGCCCCAGCTCCTGCCAACCTAGCAGTTCGAAAGCAAGAAATTGCAAGTAGATAAATAGGGACCGCTTCGGCGGGAAGGTCACAGCGTTCCGTGCGCCTTGGCGTTTAGTCATGCTGGCCACATGACCACGGAAACGTCTTCGGACAGCGCTGGCTCTTCGGCTTGGAAATGGAGATGAGCACCGCAACCCTAGAGTCGGATTCGACTGGCTTTCGAGCAAGGGAAACCTTTACCTTTACTAAATGTGTGAAGGCTCAGAAAGTAGTATGTCATGCGTGCTTATTTGACAGGCAGTCAGTAGAATTTACTGCCAAGCAAGCATGTCCATGATTGCATCCTTGCGCCCCCCCCCCCCCTTGAATAAAAGACTGATCTTGATTTCTTTCTTCTCCCCTCTCACTACTCTGGATGCTGGGAAGCTGTCCCTTGCCTGAGGTCACAGCCGTGGAAGTCCTGCAGGGATCTCTCCCCTGCATTCTCTCAGTGGGTTCCTGTTTTCAGCTTTCAGAAAAGAAGCAAGTCCCTAGCTCTCTTAGTGATAGAGATATAGGGAAAATACATGCAGGCAGAATCCCGATTTATCGAAATTTAATGTATCTTATACAGGGTGCTAAGATGGCCTCTGATAGTGCCCATAAAGCAATACAGCTTTAGAGGCCTCACATTGCAAAGGTCAGCGTGTGGGATAGGGCCCGAGTTCAGCCTCTGCTCTTCCTCCTCGAAGCTTATTGGGTGAGATCTTGGGCCACTTGCCCCCCTCTTCACCTTACTGACTCCCGTACCCAAGCCCCTGGATAGAATTCAGTGAAGATCTCCTGGAGGGGCCCTGCCTCCTGCAGGGGTGTTGTTGTTGTTGTTCAGTCGCAGTCGAGTCCGACTCTTCGCGACCCCATGGACCAGCTCCCGCCAGGCCCTCCTGTCTTCCGCTGTCCTCTGAAGTTGGCTCAATTTCATGTTCGTTGCGTTGATGACACTGTCCAACAATCTCATCCTTTGCCATCCCCGTCTTCTTTGACCTTCAATCTTTCCCAGCATCAGGGTCTTCTCCAGTGAGTGCTCCCTTCTCATTTGGTGGCCAAAGTATTTGAGCTTCAGTTTCATTATCTGGCCTTCCAGGGAACAGTCAGGGTTGGTTTCTTTTAGGATTGACTGATTTGATCTTCTTGCAGTCCAAGGGACTCTCAAGAGTCTTCTCCAGCACCATAGTTCAAAAGAATCTATTCTTTGGCGCTCGGCCTTCCTTATAGTCCAACTCTCGCAGCCATACATGACTACTGGGAATACCATTGCTTTGACCATGCGGACTTTTGTTGGCAGGGAGATGTCTCTACTTTTTATCATGCTGTTTAGGTTTGCCATCGCTTTCCTCCCAAGGAGCAGGTGTCTTTTAATTTCATGGCTGCTGTCACAGTCTGCGGTGATCTGGGATCCCAGGAACGTGAAGTCTGTCACCACTTCCACAACTTCCCCTTCTATTTGCCAAGGAGTGATGGGGCCGGATGCCATGATCTTAGTTTTTTTGATGTTGAGCTTCAAGCCCAGTTTTGCGCTCTCCTCTTTTACTCTGAACAGGAGACTCTTTAGGTCCTCTACACTTTCTGCCATTAGAGTGGTATCGTCTGCATATCTGAGGTTGTTGATCTTTTCCCCAGCAATCTTAATTCTGGCTTGTGATTCATCCAGGCCAGCATTTCGCATGATGTACTCTGCATATATATTAAATAAGCAAGGTGACAATATACATCCTTGTCGTACTCCTTTTCCTATGCTAAACCAATCAGTTGTTCCATATCCGGTTCTAACTGTTGCTTCTTGGCCCTTATACAGGTTTCTCAAGAGACATGTGAGGTGGTCTGTTACTCCCATCTCTTTAAGGACCTGCCATAGTTTGTTGTGATCCACACAGTCAAAAGCTTTAGCATAGTCAATGAAACAGAAGTAGATGTTTTTCTGGTACTCTCTTGCTTTCTCCATAATCCAGCGAATGTTGGCAATTTGATCTCTAGTTCCTCTACCTCTTCGAAACCCAGCTTGTACTTCTGGCAGTTCTCTATCCATGTACTGTTGAAGCCTAGCTTATAGGATCTTGAGCATGACCTTGCTAGCGTGTGATATGAGTGCAATTGTGCGATAGTTTGAACATTCCTTGGCATTGCCCTTCTTTGGGATTGGAATGTATACTGACTGCGGGGTGGTATGTTCCTCCAAAACTCCTTGAGAAACAGCAGGATAAAAATCTAATGATTCTATTTCTGTATTTTATTCAAAAAAACAACAACGGTTAAACCAGCAACAAAAGGAGCAGCAGTGAAATGCAGCTGGTAGGACAAAGTCTTTAAATCAGGGATCGACACGGTGGTGACCACCCACTGGCACCTTTCGTGGTGCCTGCCAAGCGTTTTTAGAAAGTGGGTGGGCCTCTTGCCCGGTAGGGCTTCTTATTGGCCCCTGGAGATAGGATTGGCTGTGCTGATTAAAATAACATTGTTTCTGGTAGCGGCTGCCAAAGCGGTGTTGGTTTCATTCTCTCTCGCACACCTCTTTCCCCAGTATGTTGTTTAAAATTACTTCTCTTAATCCCTGTACTTGGGCCTCCTCTGGGTGTGGCTCTGCCTCCTGCAGTGGCCATTTTGTAGTTGGCTCCCCCTCCCGTGATATCCATTTTGTGGTTATGCCCACCACCCCGTATCCAAACTCCAAGGGTGCCCATAGGCTCAAAAAGACTGGGGACCCCTGCAATGCTCCCTCTAAGCTGTGGAGTCTTGTGAGCAAAATTTCTACTTTGTGAGCCACTGGCATTAAAGTTGACTACTGCATAAGTTAGTTTGCTCTGGAGCCATCCTTCCTGAGCTAAGACAAAAATGTGTGAGCTGGAGGCTAAAAAACTGTGAGCTAGTTCACACTAACTCAGCTTAGAGGGAATACTGGCCCCCTGCTTTAAATGGTCTCCAAAAAGCCTGTATATAGCCGTGTGACCCTCCAAAGTAAAGTATTTCTCCCCCCCCCCTCCATCCCCATGCGTTAAAGCAACAGAAGAAACTAAAGGGTAGTCAGACAAGAGGCGAGAGAGAGAGAAATCCAAAGTGTTTGGGGGAAAGCAAAGTTGTACCTGATGCCCAAAGTCAGGCAGGGCTGAGAACCAGGCAAACATCTGTTGTTAGACCCAGTTGGGTGCCACGGTTGGAGTGCTGGACTGTGGAGACCCAGGTTCAAATCCCCACTCTGCTACAAATGCCAGGTTGTTTGGGAGGTTAAAATGGAGAAGGGTAAAAACGGAGTTCAGCATCCTGAGTTCTGGGGAGGAGGGAGGGATCAGACCATGACAGCTGCTGGGGTTGGAGTTCTGGAGGCTAGGGTACCCCTGCAGAAAAGGCTCCAGTGCCCACTTGCCTCACCTTGAGAGCTGGGGGGACACAAGGCAGGGCCCCTGCCGGAGGTCTTAACGGAATTCGATCCAGTGGCTTGGGTATATTGGGGTCTCTGCTTCTGCCTCCTGAGCACTGGCTGGCTGCGTGGTTCGTTGACACCGAACAGCCTGAGAGATAACAAGGCTTCCATCATGCACTGCAAGGTGTTTACTGTTGGGAGGTTTCCCAGCAGACATGTATACTTCCAGCAGAGGTTCTGGAGTACATACTGCTCAACCCTCCCCTGGGACCTTCTGCATGCAAAGCGTGGACTAAGCTACGTCTTCTCCCTGGAGCAGATCTACTGATTAAAACCAGTGAACATAAAACTTATAATAACCACCTTGTTGGTTGTCTTCAGCAGGCGTTCAACTAGCTTTGAATTCAGTAGCAGCTTAGAGACCGACAAGATTGTGGGGGTATAGCCTTTGAGAGTCAAAGCTCCCTTCACTCAGATACGTTGTTGTACTCCAGACCAGCATGGCTGGCTACCCTCCGCAACTATCTTAGAAGAGGCATCTCAAGCCTTCTTTTTTTTGCTAGTGCCTTTGAGGGGCTATGAGCAGGCATCTTTGGGGGAAGGCTATTTGGCGGTTCTCATTTACTCGGTTTTAATCTAATGTAAGGAGCTGCGGTGGCTCAAGTGGTTAAGACGCTGAACTGCAGGCTGTGGAAGGTCGGTAGTTCAGCAGTTCGAGACCCGAGTGTGCTGCATGACTGAGTGAGCTCCCATCTCTAGTTCCAGCTCCTGCCAACCTAGCAGTTCAAAAGCAAGAAATTGCAAGTAGATAAATAGGTACCACTTCGGTGGGAAGGTAACAGCATTCCGTGCACCTTGGTGTTTAGTCATGCCGGCCACATGACCACGGAAATGTCTTCGGACAGCGCTGGCTCTTCGGCTTAGAAACAGATGAGCACCGCAACCCTAGAGTCGGATTCGACTGGCTTTCGAGCAAGGGAACCTTTACCTTAATCTAATGTAAGCTTCCTTGAGCCAAGAGGAAAGGTGGGGTATAAATATTTTAAAATAGCCCCCGTTTCATGGCTTTCTGTTGTTCAAGCAGCTGCTTTCTCAAACACAAGGGTGTCTCACCAAGTACCATCTTTTCTCCTTCCCAACTCTTCTTTTTCAATAGGTGGCTTTTGGCACAGCAGCCTGATAGACAGAAACCTCATCGATTACTTCATCCCTTTCCTTCCCCTGGAGTACAAGCACGTGAAAATGTGTGTCAGGGTTGAACTTGAGTCTCGGGGCTACGAGGTGGATGAGGAAATTGTGACCCAGGTAGCGGATGAGATGACCTACTTCCCAAAGGAGGAGAGGATCTATTCCGATAAAGGATGCAAAACTGTGTACACAAAGTTGGATTTTTACCTGTGATATTTTTATGATCTCGTCCTCAATGAAGAAAATGAGCCCAATCACAGAATTTGAAGGATTTCCCCCCACTGTTTAAAAAGGGTTTAAAATAATGAAAATAGACAATAATGTTCATTCTTATTTTGAGCAGGGGGAGAAAGAGCAGGACCCTGATTCCAAAATAACCTCAGCCTTGTGGCCTCAAGAACGGTCTGTGTCTCATCCACACATTCCTGAGCATTGTCTTAGCTGTGCCTGTATCCTGTGAAGCCGTTTGGACTGTTGCTTTATTAGAGCAGTCACTGGCCCGCTAGGCTGCTGCCTCATTATGATTGGGCATCCAGCTATGAGGAAGCAGAGGCATTCTGTCCTGGTGGCTTAAAACAAGAATGGTGTCATTCTTCTCAAGAAATGAAGGCGGTGTTCTTCAGCTTATTAGACCCGTGGGGTGTTTTTATTTGAAACCGGACGTTGGACCAATATTTGAACACAGTAACCATCCGCAGTAATGGACCAGTAGATTCCAAGCTGCTGCAGAATGGCTGGGGAGTCCCTTTGGGTTTGATCAAAGCACACATCAGGAGCCCCTTGCTAGCAGAATGCACACAAGCATGTAGAATGCCCACTACTGGCAATCTTGAGCCCCCTGCCTCCGGTGTACAGGTGACGAAACTCCTGGATGCTTTCTGGAATGCATCCCTTGCTTAATGCAGCAGGGAGACCTAGCCAGGACCCTAATCTGAACTGGGATGACTCTTCCAGAATCCTTTGCCGCGCACAGTGGCCCTGTGGGAGGCAGGCAGGCAGGGGCTTCTCTTCAGATCCAGTTCCTGGAGCTGGAATACTTAAAACCCCCACTTTAAAACCACAGAATCCTGCTTGAGGATTTTAATAACGAAGCCAAGCGATTACATTCCACTAGCATTTCAAGCACGGATTGTGAAGACTTTCCCTCTGTAATGGATCAGAGGGGGCTAATGGAAGTCGTGGCCTCCTCTCCTGTGGGATTCCAGGCTGGCCGTTGCTGGGTGTGGTTCATGTCTGCCTCGTGTTTCCTGCTCGAGAGAAATAGGGGCAGGGGGGTGGGGGAGCTGGATGACTTTTAGGAGAACTTGGAGCGATTTGGGGAGGATTTGCACTTCTTTTCCAGTTGGTGGCAACAGTCTGGCGGGGCTGGGGGCCGCCCCAAGCAGCAAACCCACGCGGGATCTTTCCATAAGGCTGCCTGGCAGATGGGCCTTGCCCAGGATTGCCAGCTGTGGGTTGGAATATACCTGGAGATTTTAGGGGTTGAGGCAGGACAGGGTCTGGGGAGGGGGGAGGGACCTCAGCAGGGCATCGTGCCATCGAGTCCACCCTCCACAGCAGCCGTTTTCCCCGGGGGAACGGATCTTGGTAGATCAATTGTAATAGCCAGAGATCTCCAGGTGCCACCTTGCAGTTGGCAACCCTAGCCCTTCCCCAGGGATGGGACAGTTTAAAAAAGAGCCAGCTAAAGAGGGAAAGTGTTTCAGGGGTTGCTCTGCTGGAGGTACGACGTGGCATTACAGATCAACCACCGCTTTTATCATCTTCCAGAAAGCTCTCCGGATGCGCTCGTTCCCAAGTTACCTTTTCTCTGCTTTCCTGAAGCTGTTGTTTAAACTGCCCTTTTGTCAGATAGGCTGCCAGAAGGGGGGGGGGGGGCTTGCGCGTCTGCCTGGCGGGTCCGAATGGCCCCTCCCACGGGTCCCTGAGAACAGCCCCAGGCTGGCCTTGGGCTCTCTGCGGAACTAGCCCCCCCACCCCCCAGTGAGGAATGGCCCCCTGGAGGAGATCCACAGGCCTTTCTTCTCGGGGTTTTTTTTTTTTTTTTAAAGATTAGATGCAGGGCAGTTCAGATGGGCATTGGGAGGGGGGCAATCACCAATTTACTGGGCTCTTACCTAGTTTGCACGTTGTAAAAATGTAAATTGTTTATATTATTAATTTTTAATCTTATGGAATGTCGTGAGCTGCCCAGCGGCTTTGTGGGAGGAAACGTGGGGTGTGTTTTTGCTAAGCGGACTGGGCTGGCTGCAGTGAACAGCAGCCTGAGTCAGTCTCTGTTCTCCCTTCAGTAACCAGCTCAGCTGATCCTGTGTCCTGCTGCCGCCGTCACCACCGCCATATGCAGGGGCTGCCACCGGCAAAGATGGGGAAAGGCCCACCAACTGGCATTGAGGCAGGGAGCTAGTTAAGCAGGGCTGCCACACAACCACCCCCCGACCCACCTCGTCCTGTCCCGCTCCAGATGGGTCCAGGGCAGGAAGTACCTAAAAGTGCCTCTGCAGGGTGTGACTCTGGGGGAGGAGAGGTCGGATTACTGGTCACAGAGATCAGGCTGATGAAGCAGACACCGGGAGCTCCCTTTGGGGTGGGAAACATAACCCTGTGGATATGACTGCAACATTCCCCCTGCTGAAAGCATGCCCCTCTCTAACAGCTGAGGTTGGGAGAGACAGTGCACAAAAAAGGGTACCCCCTTTCCCTAGGGTGGTCAAAAGTGCCATCAAATCACAGTCAACTTGTGGTGGCCCCATAGGATTTTGAAGGCGAGAGACATTCAGAGGTGGCTTCCCATTGCCTGCTTCTGTGTGGGAACCCTGGCCTTTCTTGGCGGTCTCCCCTCCAAGTAACTAACCAGGGCTGACCTGGCGACTTTAGGCTGACCTGGGACATCTAGGTCAGAGCCCTCGTCCCCCACTAGGCCTAAAATTAAGTATGGGGGGCAGTTTCAAGTGCAGAAACCCTTCAGGGGACACCCCCCCCCATCATATCAATATGAGATGAAGGAATGAAATGCAACCTCTTTGCAGATTGCAGCTCTAATCAGGCAAAACAATCTTGATGCCAGGGTTTTGGGGTTTTTTTGCCACTCATGGTATTTTGTAAGTGTCCAAATAAATTGCTTTAGGCCAAACAGCCACATGCTCGTCGTGACGTCTGTGTAACAGCTTCGTCTTTTGTGCAGGTCAACCTCATGCTGGAAGGAGGATTTAGGATGTCAGTTGATGTTGGGTATCTGTGTTTTGAAAACCAAGTCCGGCTTGTTCTGTAGGATTTAACTTCCGACTAGACACAAGGCTTTGAGGTAGAACAGCTCTCTGCAAACAGCAGCCATTAACTGTCAAAGAAGAACTGGAAAATTGTCCATTGAGAAAATGATTTCCTGGAGTGTTAAGGAGAAGTAGAGGATCGAGCAAAAATGTAAGAATCCTGCAGCCGAAAGCAAGTTGCAAGGACAGACTCCTCAGCTCTCTGGCCGAAAAACATTTTATCACCTCTGCCCCCTTGTCCTAGCACAGCTGCTTGTGAGAGTGACTCTGCAAAAGCCCTTTTGCCCTTAAACCATACACGTCTGTAGATTTAAAATGTGCAGGCAGGGAATGGATTGTCCTTGGTACCTCAGTGGATAAAGTTTCTAAGTGGTACCATTTGAATATACCCTATTTATACACTGCACCCACAGGGAAGGTATGTGGTTTTCAAAGCGGATTTTTGCCTGCAATCAATGGTGCCGGAGCCATCCTTGAGAGCCTGGGATGTCTCCAGTGACCAGGGATGGCCCATCAGCAAAGCTGTTGCTACGCAGTCCCATCCAAGCCTGCCCCAGAATGTTTTACTGTGCACTGGAAGCCCTCAGCAGCAATGTTCCCTCTAAGCTGTGGAGTCTTGTGAGCAAAAATTCTACTTTGTGAGCTCCTGGCATTAAAGTTGTGAGCGAGTGATTTCGCTACTGCATAAATTAGTTTGCTCTGGAGCCCTCCTTCCTGAGCGGAGACAAAAATGTATGAGCTGCAGGCTAAAAAACTGTGAGCTAGCTCACACTAACTCAGCTTAGAGGGAACACTGCTCAGCAGTGAGTCTGGTGAAAACCGTTCCCAGAAGACAGGACATTTCTGAAAGCCATTGCCTTAAAAGTGGCACGGACTTATGGCTGAACGATGCCCACATATTACCATAGTAAAACAGCTGCACAATTTTAAATGTGTTTCTGGGGGATCCCTGATGAGATCCTGAGAAAGTTCTACCCAACCTTCCCATAAGCCATTCTCTGAGGTTCACGGGACAAAAACTACACTAGACGTAATAGAGGGTTTGAGATTGACCAGAGAACAGCAAGAGGCGGCAACGTGAATAAAAATCTTTATTGCAGCTGCTCACCGGAAAGGATTGCAGTTCCTTAAAGTGATGCTCTTCTTGCACTGAGAGCATCAGAATTCCTGCT